ATCACAGCTTAATCCTGTAAAGCAATTGCTGAAATTCTCATAATGATGTCTCCATGGACACATTGTATGCTAACACATAGGAACTTTGAAGACATGGCCACACATTAGCAGGAAAAGAGAAAAGATATGATATCAACAATTTTTTTTTTAACCAATCAAGGCTGAAGAGCAGCTAAAATGGGTATTGCTCTTGAAGATCTTCCTTGTGTGATAATAAAAGGAATTTAGCAAGAGCTGTTCTCTTATTTCATATAATAGATGAAATATTTACTCCCATATATCTGATACTTTACATTTTATTAGACATAAGAATATGCAGCTAATTATGCATCTCTTATTTATATTAAATGATACAGAATGGGTATTGATAATACATTTTCAAAAAGTTTCTATTCTTTTTTGCTCTTACACAGAAAGTCTCCCAGCATTTAGATGGTGTATTTTATTAACTGACAAATTCCATTTTCCAGGAAGTTTGAATGGTCTGATGGCTAAAAGTCTATAACCCACGGTGCAGTGAACCTAATTTTAAAGACAGTGCACTGAGCAAGATGCCTATACTGTGTGAGTCTCAGTTTCCTTATCTATGGATGGAAATAGCATGTATTCCATAGGGTTTTTGAGAATTTTAAATAAAATAATAGCGTTTAACACAGAACTGGCACAAGGATGATTATTTCTTTTGTCATCTAATATATCTTAAGAACTTAGAATAGTGCCTGGGACACCACAGTTGCTCAACACATAGTTGTTACACCTAAGAATGTGTGATTATCTAGCTTGGCTCCAACATCGGAAAGGATTTCCACCATCATCAGTCAAAAGAATGGCTGAATTTGTCTCTCATTTCCAGAGGATAATATTGAATTATCCTCAAAATTTATAGTTCATTCATCTTTGGCCTTCAACATGACTTCACCAAACCAAGAACAAGTGTTCCATTCAACCTTAAAGTCTTCCTCAGAATGAGGCTATCTAATCATTATAGAACCAAAATCCTTTTCTTACTGACTATAAAAGTTTGCTCTTTAGTAACCTTTCTTATTCCCTCCCTTACCTCTGGCACTTTCTTCTCCATGTCCTATTAGAATGGTTCTGTATTTACTCATTTTTTCCTCCAACTGACCAAGCTCTCGCTCAAAGTCAATCCACGTGGTTTTTTTTTCCCCCACAGACCAGGGGAGACTGCAGGTTGCCAAGGCACACTTGCAGCCATGAATCTTCCCATCTCAGATGGACATATGAGTCAGGTCTGCAGACCAATTTTTGCCTGCAGACTGATTTTGACCAGGTTGGGTTCCACTTGGAGGCACTTCTCTCAACTAATACTAATTATCTTCTTTTGAATGGTTCAGAAATAAATTCTATCTACTCTCTTAGAGGAGAAATAGTCACATGTAAAATGACAGTGTTTAAAACGGTTTTTTAATTTGTCTTAATAAAAAATCTGCTCTTATTATATGAGTGGGTTAAAAATGGCAAAATATGTATTTAAAATGATAATTCTTCTCTTCTTCTCTTAGATATCTATGACAATGTTCACAGCCTTGGTTAGGACATATTCAGTTACATGTCCCCAGTTTTAATACCATCCATGTTTTATTTCCTAATTAGACCCCAAGGCCTAACATAAAAACTCTTAAATTTCTTATTATGTAGACACTTTTGTCATTAGGCCTGGTTTATTTATTTAGTGATAATGTGCAAAATACTAATACTAAACATATCATAATGTTATGGGAAAAGAGTCATAAAGACAGAAAAAGTTTTCCTTTGAACATATATTTTCTCTTGGTATGTGATATGTGAATGAAAACAGTAATAGCCCAGGTTATAGACATGTTCTAAATTTACTTTAAACACTACTAAAATAATATGCAGGTTATATTTTTGTAAACTCGATGCCTCTAAACTTCCTGATAAGTGAAATGAATATTTCTGACTTTAGAAATAGAAAAATTGACATTTGACTCCTAATACACATTTATATACCCTAGGCAGGCTCTGGTGGCACAAAAATGACAAAAGAATGTACAGGTTTCATTCGAAATGAGACTCTATTGCTTGTTTTTCTCACCTGGAGAATTTTCGATGATATCGAAACAGACTGGTGATTCTGCAATGAGTTCATACAAGGATGGTTGACACTACCAAGAGAAGTCTCAGATCTTTTCCCACTTATTCTCCCACCACACAGAAATCTGTATCCATGAAAACCATAGTTACTAGCATGGAAAAATGCATAAAAATTTGGGAGAAATAGAAAAAGTATAGGAATAATGCTGCTAGAAATTAAAAACTATAATTTTAACAAAAACTCTAAAGAATATACTACAAAGTTAATATGTAGGTCAGATGCTTCAGATGAGAGATGAGAGAGAGATATTTTTGGTGCTTGGAGTAAGGAGAAAGAGTATTAGTTGGGGTAACTGGCTGGGAAGGGCAGGCCTGACTGCACCATTCTGGAAAAATACTGCCAGTGGTTAATAAGAGGTTGTGTAGCCCAGGAGTGGCTGAGATGAGAGGACTGCATAAAATGAAGGTTTAGGAAACCTTTCGAGACACTTCATCTGTTGTCATATATTAATCTTTTCAGAAATGCATTACTGAATTTGAGGAGTGTTAATTATTGGATTAGCAGGCCCAAATTGGGCACTTAATTGTGTGTGCACAATTTTAACAATTGTGCCCATACTGGACGTTACTACAGAATAACTTGGAAGCTGACCTTCGAAGCTGAGACTGTCAAGAATGACAGACTGTAAGTATGGGTTTCTCTATGTAGCTATGGGGGTCCTTATCACCCAACAGAAGGGAATTTATGGGGAACAATATGTGCTACATTGATTCTAAATTCAGAAATTTTCAAGGGTTAGAAAGCATGCTTATGAATATGAAGATTATATTGAATTCTCTAACACATTCACAGTGTTCATTCATATTATAAGATAAACAAACAAACAACAAAGTTAACTTAGAAATTTAGTGTTTGAGCTTCTTTCCTAATTCATAAAGGATTATCCAGAAACTCCATTAGAAACATTTTAATCCAGTAATTTCCTTTTGTGATAAACAAAGAAAGGAGAGACTTATTTCTTATTGGGTTTGAGGAAAATCACCTAATTCTTCTACGTAGGAGACTCTTTAGTGGATTATGATTTCAAAGATATTTTCCAAATTATTCTGATTCTAGTCTAATGTTTGGCAATGATGCTGGTGGCTAACCAGGAATGACATTCCTTGTCAGTGGTGTAAACTCTCTCTCCCAGCTCAAAGAATTGTTTTTCTATGAAAATCAAAATAAATTAATTTCTCTAAAAGTAAAAAATAAGTTCTGATTAGCAGGCTCAAGCACTTGTTTTGTTAGAGGAAGCACCAATCTCTGTGATGTGATTTCAAAAGGTGCATAGATGGAGCAACAAATTATCACATTCATTATGAAAATTTCTGGTATTCCTCTGCAGAAGAAAGGCCTAAATATAATTATGTCCGAGTAGAGGCATGCTTATTGACTAAACTCACTGAACTGTGCTTTACAATACAAAGATTTAATATCTTTTCCATGAGTTTTTCTTGTGTATAAGCAGATTGGAATCAGACTAAATCTTGAAACGTTCATTGTAGGAATTCACTCAATGGACAGATGTCTTTCTCACCTTAGTGCAGCTTTTTATTATACCTTTGATTATTATAGCAGATTTACTCTTGGGACATTGAATGAGTTATTTTTTTTAACTTTTTTGCTTAATTAAAGCTGCTTGAGCTGAGCTAGAAATCTACTTACATTAGAAAGGAGGCCTGTTTACATCTCATTTCAGTTAGTAGTTTCTCTTTTAAAATAATTTTTTTAAAAATATTTTATTTAACTTTATTTATGTATTTATTTTTTATACCAGAGAGGGAGAGAGAGAGAGAGAGAGAGAGAGAGAGAAAGCAAGCCACCAGGTTCAGGACTTGAACCACGGTCAACCATGTGGGAGTCCAGTGCCCTTAACCACCACACCACCTGCTGACCTCAAGAGTCATCTTTCTTAAAAGTTGGAGCTTACTTGGTAATTATATAATTTCAAGTTATTTCTGTCCTTTTGGCATCCAATACTGCATTCTAAATTCCAACATGTGGAAAGATGATGCAGGGTAAAATGTACATTACATTTTTAAATGAGACTCTGTAATGTTTTTAAATCAAAGCTTTTCTTTATTTTATTTATTT